GAGTCTCTCTRATTGGTTGACGCGGCGCGTCGAGCTGTAAAAGTTCAGATTTTCTAACTTCAGCGATTTGCGCATCAAGCATGTCGAATGCTCAGATCGTTCAAATCGCGCTGCTCTAATGCGCTTGAGGCACCGCAGCACTTCCCGACGCTGATTGAAGCGCGTCCACCATAGACTTTGCATGTAAACCTGATGCTCCTGATGCTGAAATCGCGTTTGGTGTGAACGCACCATTATGCATAGCGGGCACTTGCCCAGTGGGCCAGTGGTGATTTGGGGCTGGGCCATTTTTTCTCTCTCTCTCTTCTTTGTAATTATGATGCTTATCGGCACACACAACTAGATCGGCCCATTAGTCATGAATGACTGATTCTGGGCTGGACAAATTACAGCAGCCGAGGGCTGATGCCCCGTCCCTCATGGGTTGCGGCTGTCAATCAATCAATCACATACAGAGAGGAGAACAGAGAACAACGCGTGGAAAAACGTGAAAAGTCTCGCCGAAAAAAGATAGCTCAACAAACTCTATTTAGTGGTTGTCATTTGCCAGCTTTAAATGGCGCCTCCTAATTTCTGTCTCCTGACTCTTTTGTAGGAGGAGGAGAAAAGAGGATGCAGCTCAGCTGTCAACTGAAATGCGCAGCAGCAAGGTCTGCAGGACATGCTGTCGCTCCTATGTTCAAAAATGGATATAAAAACATAGCTCAAAAATGAATTTGATTCATGCATGTGATGGAAACTATGTTGAACTAGAAGCACTCGGAGAGCGCAAACCTCCGCCAAGACCAATTTCCCCATCCTGCAATGGAGAATTTCGCAGATACCACCATCTTTGCCTAACGCAAAGCATCATGGTCCAGTTAGGGGCAGATTTCTATTCTGTGTTCTAAGCTATAGACCTTCATGAAGCTCTAAAGCTCCCACTCCAAATATTTTCAACTGACAAAGCCTCCCTGATGGGAAGAGAAACATCTACAGTTTCAAAATAGAAGTCCAGTTATACTGTATATATAGCTTAAAAATGTTGATTTATTTAATGCCTCTAACCTCATGAAAAGCTTCATCCTGATATTGAGGATATTTATTTTATACTAGCTGTCTTTTTTCAGATTAATTATTTTAAGTTTTTTTATTTTAAGTAAAATATACATTCATGTTTTTCATTCTTAGTTTTTCAAAAATCATATTTATAAGGTTGTACTAATCTTATATAGCTGGGAAATATTTAAATAAGCACAAAGCTTGGGACTCAAGAGGTTAAAACTGGTGGGGCACAGCCCCCCGTGACCACCCCCACTTGTTGTGCCCCTGGTGACTGACAGGTGATGTTCCACAGTGAAATGACAAGATGGAGCACCACACATCTCTGTTAGATCTAGCTGGGACAAGACTTTTCAAATTCGTCTTCTAACATAAAGAGCTGATTTGTTGTCAGACTGAGCTTTATGGGAGAAGTTTTCTGTTTGAAGCCACTCGGTCCTGTTAGAGCCGCTGCACTGTGCATCTCTCTGCTGGATGCCAGAGACAAGAGATTTAATTTGCGGCACTAACAGGGACAAGGCATTTCTTATTTTCTGAATGTTTAGTTTTTAATAATCGCCGCTGTTTGTTTTAGCAGCCCAGGGTTATTGGGACTAGTTTTTCTGATCTCHGCTCTTCATCGTCAGCTCAGGTGGTGCCCTGCAGCGCAATCAGCTGTGTGGTATGATCGGCCCGACCCGTGGTGAGGAGAGGTAGAGAAGTCATTTGATATGGCATTGTTTAAAGCACAATGAATCCAGAAAGGCAATCAGAGCCCCAGAACGTTTCGCGCTTGCCCTGCGCAGAAGAATTGCTGGAACCTCACCAAAATTTAATGGTGTGTTACGTGTGCTAGTATGAACATGTGGTGTAAATGTCATGACAATCCATGCACACATTTTTGAGTTATGCTGTCCACAGACAGACAGACCGACCGACAGACTGACAGACATACGCGACCGAAAACATTAACTCCCCCGCTTGCGCTTGGCTGAGGTAATAAATGTAAAGACAGTCTAAAGACAGATAACAGCAGCTCAGGTTCTGCTCCTTCCAACTGGACCTGGTATGGTTTATTTATTTAGAGGGTTTTTTTTCATTAGGCTATGATAAAAATACAAAATGTTAAACATGTTTCTAACCAAAGTTTTTTCCTGATAAACTTATAAAGTATTGAATTAAAAATACATTTACATTTTTCTTAAAAACCTTTAAATCGTTGTTGTGAACTAACAGCCATAATTAATTTAATGTGAGATCTATAATAAAATGAATGTTATGACACATCAGTGATGTGTCCCATGTTGTCCCTCACAAACATCTCTTTTGTCCCTCATTCATGTTTTCAGGATCTGGTCACCACACCTCAGATTAAAATCAAGTTTTGTTGTAGTTTACCTTGTGCTTGCAAATTCTTCAAGGGGACCTATTATGCAAAATTCACTTTTTAAAAGTTTTTTTATTCAACTTTGGGTATGTACTTCTTAAAAAAACAGTCCTAGGACCAAAAAAAAAATGCACCCAGGGGCATATTTACTGTAAGTAAATGTTTTTTAATGTATATTAACGACAAGTTTTATACTTCCGTTATTTTTTGATGTCACAAGCCGTACGACAACCCTCCGGAACCTGCGTTCAGCCCCTTAGCTGGCAACCCCCGGGTGAGGCTCCACCTCCTCAGTATAAAAAGCCGTCACTGTTGTTGTTGTGCAATGTGCAGCTCATTTCACAGCAAGTCTCCAATAGGGCAATGGGTAGAGTGTTGGACCAGAGAGCTGGAGACCAGGGTTTGAGACCAGTATGGAATACAACTTAATTATTTATTTTCATTGTTTAGCTTATTAAAGCCTTGTTAAAGCCTATTTGTTCGAGTTTCTGAGGTATTTTGACTTCTGCTGCTCCCTGCTCTGGTAACAGCATGCAGAGTGAGCGCAGAGCAGAGGAGGGGGAGAAAAACGAAGAAGCTACGACCGATTCTGCCTCTGGGTCTCATATGGTTGTACAACGGAGATTCTGCTATTATTAGCCATGCTAACGTAAACGCTGGCTTTGGAGGGCGGAGTTAACGTCAACAGATTTTTGGAGGGCGTTACCAACAG